TTCCGAGCGCCCGGGACGCCGCGCCTTGTTACTGCGTCCATTCATTTCGCCCCGTGCGGGGCCTGCGCTGTGTTTCAGAGACTCGCGCTGCGCCGGAACTGACCGCCTCGGTTCGCGTCCCCGCTGTGTGCCCAACGCAGTGCCCAGGATGTAGAGGACCGGGCCTTCCCCACAGGCTGCAGTGGAGAGGGTGAGAGGGCGGGGCGGTCAGACTGCAAACAGCCACCCACCCTCGGTGTGCTGTGGCGGAGGCTGCAGAGGAGTGGCTGGGCCCTTTCCTGTTCTTGTCTTACTGGGTTATATTCCTTCTTTCATCTTTTACACTTTTGCAAAGTGCTTTAAAAGTCTTTCAAATTGTACAAACTCTTCTCACGTCCATTTGTGTGATGGGTGATAAGGGGCGGGGGTGGGGGAGCAGCGCTCCGGCAAGGCTCCTGGAGGAATGCGCTGTCTGAAAGATGAGGTTCACCACATAGACCGGGAGGAAAGAGCCAAGGAGTTGGAATTGTTTCCAGAAGCCCCGTTGAAAGGTTTGAAACAGTGGGGTGACCGTGTGGTTTTCTTTCTAAAAAAGTCTTCTGGCTCTGAGTGAGCTGGTGGGCGGGGAGCCAGGCAGAGAGGAGACCAGATCCAGGAAGACCAGCGAAGAGCACGGTTCATGGTATTCCTTCTGTTTGGAACAGTTTCCCCCTTCTTCACCCAGTTAACTCCTCAGTTTCTCTAAGTTTGCAGAGGTCGTACAATCCGTTCCTCAGGTCCCACTGCCTTTTCCTGCAGCTGCACGTCTGTGATTCTTTTCCCGTTCCAGGCTGGGGCCCCAAAGCCCTGGGAGAACATCGCACAGGACAGAAGCAGCCCTAGCAAGCTAATGCACCTGTCCTCTCCAGGAAGCATTCCCAGGAGGTTGCTGGCAGCACAGGGGCGGCCTAGGGTCTGGACATTCAGGAGGTCTTGCTGAGGGTCCAGACAGGTGCCTTCTACCCAGGGCTCCTTGTGGCACACTCTGGATGCTGAACCCACTGTGGCAGCAATGCACAGCTGCCCCTGTTTCATATTTTGTGTAGTACCTATACTTTCTGTAACACTAGGTATCGGATGTCCACTTCAGTGAGTGCTGTGGGCAAAATGCCACAAAACACTGTTTTCCCTAAAAAAAAACAAAACACAAACCAAAACAAAAAAAACCCCACACAGTTGAAATGTATATCCATTAGGTATATGAACACCAAAATGAACAAGGCTGGAACGATCTGGAGCAGCCATACCATGTTCTGAGCATTTGTAACGTCAGGGTGGTGTCTGTGATCTGCATCTTGGGCTGCAACCCTTGAGACCACACTGGCGTCACCCAAAGCAGTCACCTGGAATGTCAAGGCAGTGCCACCTCCAGATAGAGTCCCCCCCCCCCTCCCCTTGCAGCCATAGCTCTCTCTCCCTGTACACTGGGGAAAAAACCCAACATTCTGGTGACTCCTTTCCCAACTCATGACTAAAATCCCACACCAGCACTTCGGTGACAGCGATGCTATGACATCTGTGAAGAGGAGTCATCATTCAGAGTGCACCTGGACCGCTGCTTGCTCTGCTGGCATCGGGTGACTTGGCACAATCCCTTAGCTGGGCGGTAAAAGTCCTAAAAGCCTTCGAATCTTTTGACCCAGTAATTTCACTCTAGGGATTGGCCTGAGGAAGTAAGCCAAGAACAGAAAAAGCTCTGGCACAAAAATTTCCATTGTGTTATAGAACTTGGAAGCAACCTCAGGCTCAGCATTAGGGGAATGGTTAACTAAATTACTGCTCATTTACTTACAGAAACATTATACGGCCATTAAGCTTGATCATTACACAGATTATATAAAACCACAAACATACTAAATAAGTGAAATAAGTACCATTCAAATTGTTTAAATAACATGACTGCAACTCTGGAAAAGACAAATATATGGGCAGAAACTAGAAGTAAATAAACAAATGAATAATTTTTGTGTCCAGGTGGTAGGATTATGAGTAACTTTTCCTCTCTTTTTAAAATCTGTCACTTATTTTGTTTATATGTTATTTTCATAGCAAGACAATACAAAGGTCTCCTTTAAACACAATTGATCCTTAATTTGGAAGACCGGTCTTGTGCAAAATAAATGATTTTAATGCTGCTACTTACTAGTAAAATAAATATG